CTTCCACCACCACTGGACCCACAAGACTTTCCACCACTGGCCTGTGATCTTCCTGTATTCAGCATCATTGCATGTGTTTCGTGAGTCTGAAGAGGAATTTATAGATTGGAATCAGACATATGGGCTAATATCAGACTTATCGATTTGCTCTGTACCGGGCTGTTTTCTTTTCCTTTTAATCATTTTATTGGGAGCTCATACATTTCTTATCACAATACATACATACATACATTGTGTCAAGCACATTTGTACATTTGTTGCCATCATCATTTTCTTTCTTTCTTTTTATTTGAAAAGCCATTTTTAACTTTTAATTAAACCTCCACGCAGTTTCAAGCCACCAGGACACAGTCCTCACCAACACCGTTAATCTTCTGCTCAGCTCTTTTGCTGAAGAATGTGGCCTTCACAATGACATGCTGCTTTGAAAGTTTTCCTGCCCCAGAACCTTGTAGTACCCTGATCGCACCACATTCATGATGGGAGCAGCTCCAGTCTTATTTTTGGCAGCGTTTACCTTGGTCTGCTCAAAAAATGTGGAAGGCTTCACGAATTCGCATGTCACCCTAGCACAGGGGCCACACTAATCTTCTCTGTATTGCTCCAATTTTAGTATGTGCTGCCGAAGGAAGCACGCCATCATCACTTTCAAAACATTTTCTTTCTACTTGAGGCCTGGCTATCAGATCTCTTTTTGCCCTTCCTCCCTCACGCACCCTTGATAATTTCTAAATTTTGTTATTTTTCATGTCTCACACTGACCGATGTCTCCCTTAAAAAACAAAACAAAACAAAAAGCATAGTTTTATTTGGAAGAATGGAAGACCTTCTATAGCATGCTCAGAGAGAATTTAACTGCCTACTATGCATCCGATTAGACATTGAAGAAACTGGGCGTTGAATTAGACATTGACTAAGGAAGGCCAAAGAAGAATCTATGCACTTGAATTTGGGTGCTGGAGAACAATACTGAGAGTACCATGGACTGCCAAGAGAACAAACTACACTGTCTTGGAAGGGGCACTTGCTGCTTAGAGGCAAGGATGGTGAGACTATGTCTCATGTAGTTTGGATATGCTGTCAGGAGAGCCAAGTCCCTGGATAAGGACACAATGCTTGACAAAGCAGAGAGGCAGTGGAAAAGAAGGTCCTCAGCAAGATGGATTGACACAGGGGCTGCAACCATGACCTCAAGCACAAGAACAATTGGGAGGCTGGCGTAGAACCCAGCAGTTTCCTTTCGTTGTACACAGGGTGACTATCAGTCAGATGGGCTCCAAGGCACTTATCAACAACATACATCCCAGATATGTCGTATGCTGTTGCTGTTGACTTTGACTGATAGCAATGCCAAGTGACAGGCAAGGGACAGGTTAGCTAATCTGTATTCTTTATGAAAATAGGTGTAAACATTTTTCTCCAGTTGAACAAGTGGGTGAATTCTAACCACCAACTGTTCAACAAGCAGTAGAGCGTTGGACCAATGTGTCACCAGGGTTCTCTGACTAGTATTATATTAAATACATGCAAATATCATTTAGCGGTTCAAAGATATTAAGTCCTAATGTATGCTACTCTACAGATGAACCTTGAAAACATGATGAAAAATTCAGCATTCTTCACAGATAGCTTACTGATTGCTAAAAGAGTTTAAGGGTAAAACCATATATGCAATATATATATATATATCTCCATGCTTTGAAAGTCCACCTAAATATTCTACTTCAGGTGTTCAATAGTTAAATGTTTATTTTGAGTCACCAAAAGGTGAAAAGACTGAGTTACTACATGACCCAGCAATCATACTCTGAAAGAATTAAATACATATGAAGTGGCTTCAAAATTTTTGTGGAAAAATTCTACCATCTTTTCATTTTCCACAAACATTCTGAAGCCCCCTTATATGTCTACACCAAAACTTGTACAGGAATGCTAATAGCAGCATAATAGTCAAACAGACCATTAACTGAGAAACACACACACAAATGAGATGTGGTAAATCCATACAATTCAGTAATCAAGAGGAATAAAGTATTAATGCATGTGGCAATATGGATGAACCTTGGAAATATTATGAAAAGTGTAAAAAGTCACTGACAAAAGATCACATATTGCATGATTCTATTTAAATAAAGTGTCCAGAATAGGCAAATTACAGAGACAGAAAGTAGATTAGGGGTTGCCTAGGGCTGAGCACTTTGTCCCTGGGTGGTAGAAAGGGTTAATGCACCTGGACCTAACAGAAAGACTGAAGATTCAAGTTCACTCAGAGGTATCTTAGAAGAAAAACCTAGCAATCTACTTGTGAAAACCCAGCCATTAAATTTCCTATGGAGTACAGATCCACTTTGAGGACCATGGGTAAGGTCACTATGAGTCAGCAAACTGATTAGGGGTGGGGGAAGTGACAAGTGACTGCTATGAAATGCTCTGTGTGTGACGGTTGCACAACTATGTGACTATGCTAAAAATAGTTAAACCATTTAAATGGGTAAACTGGATGGTTGTGAACTATTCCTCAGATGGCACTCGAATACAGCAAAAGCTGTGGATTAAAAAATGAATGAAAGAATATTTATATCTATTGCTGATGAACTGCCATTTGAATGTTATATCCTTCTCTATTGAGATTTTAAAGTTACTCCTCCTAGTTACAGAGCTCACGTTGTTGTCGGGTGCTAACATTTGGGTCTGACCCATAGTGATGCTACGTACAACAAAACCGAACAGCCGTCCTGCACAACCCTTACAACTGTTGTTATGCTGAAGCCCCCTTGGTGCAGTCACCTTGTCAGTCCATCTCACTGAGGGTCTCCTCTTTGACACTGCCCCTCTACTTTTCCAAGAACTGGTTTTTCTTGATAGCAGGTACAAAGCATGTATGAGTGTCTTGATCTCCTCTCCTATAAAGAATATTCTGGCTGTTCACATTCTAGGCTACATGCACAGTGTCCCTAATATGACCTCTCTGTCTTATATAATAAGCTATTAAGACAGAGTATTGCACATCAAGTCACTTGCAACCCTCTTAGGCGCTCATTCATTTAATTAATCTTACATGTCTATGTTAAATATTTTTAAAGCTTGCCAAAGCTATATTAATTCAGTTTTGAGAGTAGGATGGGTTTATGCAACATTATAAAGTACCTAAGTACTTACTAGACTTGTTCTACAACTTTAACCCAATTGTCACATGATTGGCTAGATTTACACAATAGAGGGATTAATAGAGACAAATAAGGCTTATATTCTAAACCACATTAAACTACTCACTTTCTTTCGCTTTTCCTATCCTAAGTATATTCTCTGTAATCCCACCACCACCACATTACAATGCTAACCTGTACTAATTAAGAATTATTGGAAACACTGCAGTAGCCTTCTCAAGAGTCTCTGCTACACTTTCTGCCAATCCTCCTCCCCACAGCCAACAGTAATCCTGTTTCTAAAACAGGCAAACAAAAAACAGCAACACACAGAATCTCCTTTAACTCAAACATCTGATCCTTCCACTTCCCTACTTAACATCATTCATTGTCTCAACATCACCTGTGTGATAAAAACCCAGGGCCTCTGCTGTAAACAGCTCTTGTTAATGAGGCGCCAAACTTTCCCTCCAGTTTCCTTTCTCACAGGCTGTCCAGGTGCTTCCATTGGGCAGCCAGGGAGAAGAATCATTGCAATCGTGCTCTCAGATGCCTCAAAATTCAACAATGCTGCATTCTACCAGCTGAGTTACAAATGAGACTAACAATCAAGTAATGCTTGCTGTACTGCGGATCTGGCATAAAATACTGAGGCTTCTACAACACAGACAAAAGGAGAAAAGAGCTGCTCAAGTGAGGCGAAGGGAGAGATGACGACGAGCCCAAGAACGAGAGAAATGCAGTCACCGCCTGAATGAGAAGGGAAGAAACAGTACTCATCATCATTCTCTTCAGGCCCCCAAACTTGGGAGGGTTTTTTTAAAAATAAGAAAGATGGAGAACATACACACAAACAATAGGGGTATGTATCCAGGGAACTGCTTTAAACCGGACGTAAGAAAGTAATTGTCTTTATTAATAATGGAAGTTCTGAATAGGTACACTGGTAAGGTGTAGAATATACTATTGCCTATCTAGCCTTTATTGCAGGAGCCCGGTGGGGTGGTGAGTTAAGCGCCAGGCTGCTAACTGAAGGGTTTGCTGTTTGAACCCACCAGTCAACGCATGGGAGAGAGATGTGGGAGTTGGTTCCATACAGATTTACAGGCTGGACTCCTCCAGACGAGCCAGTCAGGGTGTAG